CCCTTCCTCTCTCGCGCTGCCTCTCTTCTGTTGCAACCGCGGTGTTCACAATGTTTCCTTTCTGTTTGTGTTTGTGTATGACGAGTGGAGAGGTGGAGGGTGCGGCTTGGCGTGGCGTTGCTCGGCGCGGCGGGGTGGCTCAGGTGTACTGCTGTGTAGTCGCGGGGTGGCGGCGGAGCAGTAGAAACGACAACGCCCGTCATGCCAAAAAAAATTTATGAAGGGAAAAAGTCTTTTTTATACTGATTTTTTGTTGTTGGTGGTACAGGTCAGCGAAAACGGCTTGTTATTTCCCGTATCGTGTCTGTTGAACAGGATATAACCTAATAATATACGCACCTCTACTGGGGGGTTGCACCCCCTCGTGGCCATGGCTAGTCGATCGCGGTACCCCGGATGAGAAGAAGACGTGCCTCTTGTGCGCTCTTGTGTGTGTTAGTGGGGAGGAAGGGGCAAATTTGCGCACATCGATTTCTCTGTCTCTCTCTCTCCCCGTGGGCCCCCCGCCGAGCGCGCTGCGGGGACCTGGTCACCCGAGAGCCGCGCGCTCCCTGCCTGCCGCTACCCGGGTCACAAGATTATTGGGTGAAATTAGTTGTGGACTCTCGCGACGACTATAGGGTGGCGTCGGAGCGTGGGAGACGAATATGCTTTACTGTCGGTCATTTTTCACATAGTAGATATTGTCTTATGAGCAATCATTTTAGAAATTTTATTTTGACGTAGTTTTCCTGTTGCGACTAGAACGTCTGCTCGAGACTCAAATTTGTATTTAGAGATGAATTCTTATTCTTTTATTTTTAGTACCCAGTTTCGTTTGTTTTGCTTACACGTGCTTAGCACGTTATGCTGCAGCAAAAGCAATAACACAACCGCAACGACACACATTCATTCAAACAAAACCAACACAAATTTTCAACTCGAGTGCAAGAAAACCAGCTTGTTCTGGTGGCGGTGGTGGCGCACTAGTTTTGTGGTTTGCATCGCTGCTCGCGTTGCTCTCGCTGTTTGAGCTTTTTTTCGTCTGGATGCGTTTCAAAGAGCTCCGCTGGGCTGACCTCGACCCGGGAGGGACGGGCAGGGACGCACAGGACGCAAACGAGCGCGCCCCGCAGCCCTCCGCCCGCCACCCCTCCGCGCGCAACCCCTCGCCATTGATACAACTTATATGCCGCGCATACTACACACGCAGCCACCAGCGAGGGGGGGAGAGAAGGGCAGGGGGAGGGTAGTGAGAGGGGTGGCGGGCCCAGGACCGGATCCCAGAGCAGCCTCACGCTCGCGCGCTGCTCTGCAACGTAAGGGGATCACCTTGTCATATTATGACAGCACCTTTTCAACGGTCAATCCACAGCGCTCGTACGTGTGTGTGTGTGTGTGTGTGTACGCGCACGCGCGTGTGTGTATGTGTGTGTACGAGTGTGTAATTCTTTTGACGGGCGGGCGAGGGCGCCGTGAGTGAGTGACTGAATGAGTTGTCTTCGCGTGCGCGCTCCGCGTCGCCATCAGGTTACATTACCCCGTGGTCTCGGTGTTGTGACAGTGCTAAACGCCCCCTCCTTACCCTCACCTCTGCTCCATCTGTTTCCTCTTGCGCCTGTCTCCTCCTTGACGCCCCTCTCTGCTCGACGGGGAGCGCCCCCTATCGGCCGTGGCATCTCACCCTGCTGCTGCTGCTCTGAGGCGTCGTCGTCGTCTGCTAGCTCGGGGAGGTGACATCGTTTTGGGGCGCGAACTCTTCGGCGGGTGTAATCTCACTCGCGCGCATCCGCCCCGGTTGTTTCCTCCGACAGGAGGTCGTCGCGACGCCACATCCATCGGCCTCCTGCACCGCGGCCCCCTGCAGCACGGCCTGCAGCAGGTGGAGAGACGCGCAGCGCACCGCGAGCCACAAAATAAATAAACTCCTTCCATTTCCATATAAACGGGTGCACCGGGCGTACGCACTTGACCTGCTCTGGCGCCTCTCTTCCCCCTTTGGCTCCGTCACTCTCTCTGTCCCCCTCCCTCCCTTCCTCTCTCTCCCTCTCTCTCCCTGAGCCGGCGGCGGCGGCGGCCAGGTCGTGATGAATGTGTCCGCAGACAAGGTGCTCGTGTTGCCCATCGGAAAGGGCGGCGGGGCTGAAGGGGGGGGGGGGCAGTGCCGCCGTGCATCCGGTGGGCTCGCGGCGGGGAGCCGGGGGCCCGCGCCGCCACAATGCAACCCCGTCCTCGCCGCCGCGATCCAGATCATAAGCGTGCTTCCTTCCTTCCGGACGCGCATACGTCGTCGTGCTCCAGGACGCCGTCATCGCCGTGGCCGTCGTACCCGTGCCCGCCGGGCATCGCTCGGACGTCTCCTTTGGCGCGTTGACACCGCCATCCTTGAGACCAAAACCACCACGGCCTACGGGGGAGGGAAGGGGGTTCTTGTACGCCGTGTTCCTGCCTCAGTAGATTGTGCCGCGTTGTCGCCCCGCGGCCCGGTTGCCACTCACCGCCTCCCGAGTGTGTGCTCGTCCTGGGGGGCACACACTCTGCCGTGTTTGCCCACCTGAGGAGCCCCGCGCCTCGGGGCCCGCCGAGCCACGCCGTGTGTTTTCATAACACGGGGTTGAAACTTGACCACTGCCTTTTTATTTCCCCCTTCTCTTCCGAGGGCGCGCGCTTGTCGCCTCGGGGCCGGCGGCGGCGCTGCCAGGCGTGATGGATAATCCAGATGAGGAGGGGGAGATTTGGTCGGCTGAAGTGTTGTGTGCTGAAGTGCCCGTTGTTGTCTGCCCGCAGGTTGTTCGGCATGAAGCGGTGCGCGCGCTGCCAGGCCGCCATCTCGTCGTCGGAGCTGGTGATGCGCGCCCGCGAGCTGGTGTTCCACGTGGCGTGCTTCACGTGCGCGCTGTGCCACGCGCCGCTGTCCAAGGGCGACCACTTCGGGCTGCGCGAAGGGGCGGTGCTGTGCCGCCTGCACTACGAGGCGCTGCCGCCCGCCTCGCCCACCCCGGGCTTCCCGCCGCCGCCCGGCCCCGGCGGCGAGGGCGGCTTCTCGCCCGTGCCGCCCCCGTCGGCGGCGTCCTTCCGGGCCGTGCCGCCCTCGCCGCAGGGCATGTCGCCGAGCGGGGGCGGCGGCCTACCCCCCGGGGGCCTGTCCGGCGCGCTGCCCCCCGGCGCCGCCATGATGCCCCTCGGGCCGCACGGGCCGCTGCCGCCCCACCTGGCCATGCCCCACCACGGCCCCGGCGTCGGCCCCGACCCCAAGCTGCCCTTCTTCAACGGCGGCGTGCCCCAGGTCGTGGCCCCCGGGCCCCGGCAGAAGGGCCGGCCGCGCAAGAGGAAGCCCAAGGAGATGGAGGGCATCACCGCCGCCATGGGTAAGTCAGATGTACACTCTGAATTAGTTTGAAATGCTCAATTTAATCCCCTATCAAAATACCTTAAAATACCGCCAAACCACAGATCGCTTATTGCACGATCAATGCGAGGGTCCCATTCAACTAAAGATGCGCTGCGCTAAGCACTTATCGAGAACACGCTTGCCCTTGATCAACAACTGTTCATGAAAAACCGAAAGCACGTCTCCTGTGTATCTGCCCACGACCACGTGGTTTGGGAAGCGACCCCTGTAACCTACATCCGTCTCAGACGTCGGGTCTGGCCGGCGGCAACGGGCACACGCTTGGCTGCGCACAGCCCCGGCCGCAACAGGCCCGGCGAGCGCGGAGGTAACAGCCGTTTGTTTTGGGCGTCGATGAGCAGCAGCAGGCGGGAGGGGGAGCGAGAGAGACGGCGAGCGTGAAGGGCTTTGGGGCCCGAGTCAAGGTGTGACGAAGAGGGAAGGAGGGTACCGAGGAGCGGGAGACCACCGCCGCCGCCACGCCGCCTTGACAAGCTCATCTCAATCATCATCCCCAGGAAGCTCGGCCTCACCGGTTTTAAAATGCATGCAAATTAGGGATCACGCTGAAGCGCCCTTGCCCCGCGCGCCGCTCCCGGGATGTGGTTGCGGCGGCGAGCTGTTAGGTTAGGCCCTTCGGGCTGCCTGGCCCTTTAGACTGCCTCGGCCCTTCTAGATGTGAGGCCCTTCTAGCAGTTTGGCCCTTCGCTACTCGTTAGGCCCTTCCAGCCGTAACATTAGGCTCTTCGAGGTGTTAGCCTCTTCGCGCTGTTAGTCCCTTTGCGCTGTTAGGCCCTTTGCGCGGTTAGTCCCTTCGAGCTGTTAGTCCCTTCGAGCTGTTAGTCCCTTCGAGCTGTTAGGCCCTTCGCGCTGTTAGGCCCTTCGATGACACCTCGATTCCCACGCGGCGCCGCGGGGCCCTTTGAGCCCCGCGAGGCCACTGAAGCGTCACAACACGACACGCTGCGCCGCCGTCAGCAGCAGCAGCCGCGGCAGCGGCAAGCTCCTCCGCCGACGCATTTTCCCACTCCTTGACCACGATCAGCTGCTCGATCACGATGTGAAGGCTGGAGGCGCCGCCGCCGCCGCTGACCGGGACGGCACGGCGTCGCGGCGCCAGGCACGACGCGGGGCTGCTGCGCGTTTGATTCATTGACGCACCGCCGCCGACGACGCCGACGCCCACGCCGCCGCCGGCGCCTGCGTGACGCCGACGCTCTCTCCCTCGATTCCTCGCTGAATTTTTCATCCTCCCTCGTCCGCCTCCGGAGGGTCCGGAGGACGCGCGGCCGACGGGCGGGCGGTGCCCCTTGGACTAATTGGGCCCGCGGCCCCCGCGCCACCCTCCGGGGAGGAGGATGTCCGCCTGGCGGAGCGGGTAGAGCGGGGCGGGCGCGCCCCTGGCCAATCCGATTAGCCCTGTTAGCATGCGCTTGCCGCTGGAAATCCAGCAGCAGCAGCGAGGGCGGCGCGGGGTGCGGTGCGTGGGGGCGGTGGCTCTGGCGGCGCCCGGCTCAAAGCTGACGGGCGCGGCTGGCTGTCACGGTGACGGCGCGTGACGTGGCGGCGGTGGCGGGGAGGGCGCTGTGTGACATGTCGAGATACAATCCGCGCGTGACGGCCCGCATATTGTCGGGGGCCCCGCCCGCTCGCTCCGCGCCTTCACCTCCCCGCTTCGCGCGCCCCGCGCGAGCCTGAGATTGGCGCGGTGGTTGCGCCACAACATTTTATTGATGATTGATTTATCGGCTCTCTTGCAGGAGACATGGGCGGCGACTCGTACCTGGACGGGCCCTTCGGACCGGGCACCCCCGGCATGCACGGCAACTCGAGGTCCAAGCGGATGCGCACCTCCTTCAAGCACCACCAGCTGCGGACCATGAAGTCGTACTTCGCCATCAACCACAACCCGGACGCCAAGGACCTCAAGCAGCTGTCGCAGAAGACCGGGCTGCCCAAGAGAGTACTGCAGGTGAGAGACTCTTTCTCTTTTCCCCCCTCCTCCCCCTCTTTTGTTGCACGGTCGATGTGTCGGTGCGACCCTCTCTTACGCCTTTGAGTTACGTACCTTTCATGAAGACTACAAGTCCCCCCCCCCTCCTCCTTCCCCTCCCCATCGCTGTTCATCTCGCTCGGTTCATACACAGACCGTGCCATCAATTAAATGTGCATTTTTCTGTGTCTGCACTGGGACGACCCTTCTCTCTCTCTTTCTCTCTCCCTCCCTCTCTCCCCCCCTCTCTCCCTCTCTCCCTCTCTCCCTCCCTCTATCCTTCCCTCTATCCCTCCCTCTATCCCTCCCTCTCCCTCTCACTCGCTCTCCCTCCCTCAGCTGCAGTTGAGGTGAGAGGGGGAAGGGGGAGCGGGGAACACAGGAGGCGTCGCAGTCCTCGCCTATGCCTCTCCTTGTGTATGTGCGTGTGTGTGCGTACGCGCGCACGCGCGCCCCCTGCCTCCATTCCTCAGGCGCCACGGTGCGTATAACAGACTCTCGCAGGCCTTCTGCCAAAACCTCCATCATATTCCGCGGAAAAGCGTCGCGGCGCGCCCGCCCGCCCCGCTGCTCCCTTCCTGCCCCGCTGCGCCAGCCCTGCGCGCCCTTCCTGCCCTCAGCGCCGCTCACTGTTCGCTGCCCTTTTTGTTGCGCCTCGCACTTTGTGCCTCTCTTTGCGCGCGCGGGGTTTTCATCATACATTTTCTTTCTTTCATTCAAATTTCTGGAAGGAAAAAAGTTACATTACTGAGTTGTCATCAGTTTTCCTAGGCGATGTATTAAAACAGTAAACTAACTCTATGTCCTATAACAATAATTCTTGGTTCAATAGTTTCCGCCGAGGCTGTTGCCCGGCGCCGGGCGGCCCCGCCATGTGTCAACCGGGACCGTAAATTTAAATAGGGAGGGTCGGGGGCTGGCGCTGCTGGCGCTGCTGGCGCTGCTGGCGCTGCCGGGGCTGCGCCTCTGGCTGGCTGCGCCGGGGGGCCGCCGCGGTGCCGCGCCGCGCCCGGCCGCCGGCGCCTCGCTCACCCCTGCGCCGCCGTGCCGCGCCCAGCGCGTGCTTGTTATTTCTGTGCTGTTCGGCTTGTTCGCTGCACTCGACCCGTGATGACAAATCCCCTGTCCGCTGACTCTGGTCACAAACCCCCTCTCCCCTCGCTCTCCCTCTCTCTCTCTCTTTCCCTCTCTCTCTTGCTCCCTCCAAACCTCCCCGCGCCGCTCATCAACTCCCCCACACGAGACGCGAAACACCACCTCACCTTTATTCTCTCACCGTTCCTCTTTATTCATATTTCAAATGCAGCCTCTCCCCGCCCACCTCCCCCTTCTTCGCTCCCCCCTCCCCGGCGTCCAAATTTTCAAAGAGACATCCTCCTCTGCTGGCCGGGCGGGCGGTGCCTCTGGGCGGTGCAGGTGACTTATCTGTCAGTGCGTGAGGGGCGGGGCGGCCCCATCTCCGCGAGGAATTAGACCTCTTTCCCGATGCGCGAAGGGAGAAATATGATCCGTCATATATTTAGTCCACTTTGATAACAAACGGGCTGCTGCTGCCGCGCGCGGCCGTTTGTCAGAAAGCTTTATAAATCAGCTTTATAGTGCGCGTTTACCGCAAGGCGGCCAGTCGGCCAAGACGCTCACGGCACGGCCGCGAGGCACGCGGACGAGCGCCATTTAAGCGCAGTTGAGCTTTTTATTTGAAAAAAAAAAAAAAAAGAACATTCTTTTAAAAGAAACGTTCAGGCACCTTTAAGCGTAGTCACACGCCTTGCAGAAATTAAAAAACAATTTTAAGATGAGTTAAAAACATTTTTATATGACGGTGTCCTCAAACGTAATTAAGTTTACTGACTTTGAGTGTACTAGTCACACTTGGGTTCGAGAACTTTGATGCTGCTGCTGCTGCTGGTGCTGTGCGAGTAGAAAATGCTCTGAAAGTGATGAGAGAGATACATGAAATGGCATCAAAGAAACTTTTTGCACTAATTAATTGGCGCGTTGATCCGAATGGAGCCGAAGGAGAGCCGAGGGGGCGCCCGCCGATAAGACGAGGACGGCTTCTCGTGTCCTCGTCCGAAGGAGGCGGAGCGGAGGCAAAAATAAATACAGGCGGCTCGATTATCTAAAGCATTTCGAACCGAAACCGACCGAAGAAGAGAAGAGAAACATTCAGAACTTTACCTGGTTCAACGTATGTTTTTCACCCACCCAGACAAATCGGGGAGAAGGGGAAGTCATTGGGCGGAAAATAATATCCAACGCGCGTTTGCCGTCACTTGGAGACCCATGAATCATGATGGGGGGCGTACTGCACAGCGTCGCGGCGTCATCCGCTTGCAATGAGGCGCATAGCGACACCCCTCTCCCCCCCTCTCCCTTCCACTCTTTCCCTCTCCCTTCCTCTCTCTCTCCCTCTCCCTCTCCCTCTCTCGCTCTCTCTCTCGCTCTCTCTCTCTCTCTCTCTCTCTCTCATAAGAGTCAGGTGATCGCTCACACGGCTGATTTCCTGCAGCAAGAGCCTCTCCCTTGTGTACGTTTGCCGAGGAGCAGGCGCGTCTCGAGAACGGTGTATAAATAAAAATACACACATTTATATTTTTTGTCGATTCGATGCGGTTTAATTTATTTCCCGTTGTCACGGCGAAGGCTTAAGGTAAGGGGTGTGGGCAGGGTAGCCTTCTGCCGCCGCGGCACCACGCTTGAATTCGCAGGTTATTTCCAACTGGCTAATTGCTGGTCCCTTCACACACACACACAACCATTCTATCTCTCTCATACACCCTCACAGACATACACCCTCTCTCTCACTGACACACGCACAGAATTGATGTTCTAGAATACATTTGGCTTCTCCGGGTCAGCCGTCTCAGTTCCATTTTTTTCTCGCTCCCTCGTATGTGTAGAACCTTACCTTCGCACCGACTCGGCTCCCAGCTGTCCCCTCTCTCCACTTTTACCGCCCATTTCCCAAACGCGCGTGTCGCGTCCTTGTCTCCAAACTCGGCCCGATTTACTGCGGGAATGTCCGCTGCGTGGCGCCTCGCCGGCTTACGCCCCTCTAATGTGACAGCGTGATTCTCCAACGCGGCGCGCGTAAAAATGGCCGACTTACGGCGGCGAGACGGCGCTGCTGCGCGGCGTCAGCGGGCGAGACCGTCGCCGGTGCGGCACTTACACCACCGCGTACACTCCGCCAGTCGTATCGCACAACAGGTGCACCAAATGCAAATTCGAGGAGTGAAAAAGTGTTATTGAAAATCTTGAAAGTAGAAAAGTTTTGTTGAAATTTTGAAAGAGGAAGTTACATTAATTTTAAAAGTTTAAACGTTTTATTGATATTTTTAGTGAAAATGCTCTTCTGTTTTCCTTCGAGTGTCTCGTGGATTTTGTCGATTTTGTGTTTGTCTTGTGTGTATGTGAATTTCCTGATTTTCAGTGGTTTTTGCTTCGATCTGTTGCAGGTGTGGTTCCAGAACGCCCGGGCCAAGTGGCGGCGGCTGATGCTGAAGCAGGAGGGCAAGGGTGGCGACAAGTGCGGCGGCGACAGCCCCGGCGACATGGACCACGGCTTTGCGGGCGGCATGGGCGGCGCCCCCGGCGGGCCCCACAGCCCCCAGTTCATCCTCGGGGGCTCGCCGCTGGAGTGCTAGCAGGGGGCGGCGTCGGACATCCTGGATACTCCAGAGTCCGACGCCCTCGGCTTCCACTCGTCGTCCGGCGGCGGCATGGGCGGTTACTACCACCACCTCCAGCAGCAGCACCACCAGCGCCGCTACCACGACGACGACCTCCACTGCTACGACGCCGCCGACGCGTCCCTCGACGCTTCCTCGTCGGCGGCGTCCCTCGTCGGTGACGGTGACGACGACGAGTCGCGCCCGTACCTCTGCCTCGCCCAGCTCTAAGCGCTGACCGTCACCCCAAACACCTCGAAGTCTGCCGCAGCACGCCAAGACGACCTGTGTGTGTGTGTGTATGTGTGTGTTGGAGCACGTGCTCCAAGGTGGTGACAGACATGTTAGTCAGTGCATTGTGATATCCGTTGGAGAAGCAGAGAAGTACCTGAACATCGCCCTCGTTTGGAAGGGATTATCCCCCCCTCCCCTACCCTTTCTCATCTCCGGTCGTGCCCCTACCCCTTCCCTCCCGCGCTCCATAAAAGGAACGCGCCTCGAAAGGCGCTCTTCAACACAGACTTCTTTTTATAAGTTCCTACCAAATGACATTACATAAACTTAATTATTCTTGGCTTGTGATCGTAAATATTGACTTGTTTATTATTTGAGCGATGTACAAAGTGTATACACATAGAGCGGAGAAAAAGATTATTATTATTATCATCATTATTACAATCATTATTATTATTATATATTCTGCGCCTCGGGGACATGTGTCACCTGTGTGAAAAGTGTAAAGCCTGAGCTGCTGACAATGGGCTGTAATGTATGAATGTTCTGTAGAAAAAAGTAACTGGTTTTCATACTATTAACTTAATTGGCGATTGTTTTTTTTAAAAAATGTGACATTCTCAGTGCAATAGGACGCGTCCTGGTCCTGGTGTGTGTTTAAGATCACCTCTTTCGGCGCGCTTCGCCGCTTCGGCGCGTCAAACGACTCAACTCTCAAAGACTGCGTGGTCACAGGGTGAGGCGATCCGAGACATCGTGCAGAGCAAAGTGGAAAAGAGGCGTTGTAATTGTGATCACCGTCACATGTTTGCCTAATTGGTGAAAATGGCGGAAAAATGCTCTTGTGGTGCCCGTTTTCTTCAAAAGAACCCTTTCGGTACTGCAGTGTGCTACGCTCTGCTTCGAAGAATCCCTATCGCTGATTTAAAAGCCTGGCGAGAGAACCGGCGAAAATTCACAGGTTGGCAGTGGCAGCGGTGTGTTGGCAAGCATGTAGGGGAGAGGGAAAGGGAGGGGGGAAGCAGTCGTGGGAGACCCGGCCTCTTCCTTGAACAGCGTGTGGGGGCGCGGGCGGGCAGCAGAGAGAGAAAAGAGAGAGAGGGGAAGAGAGAGGGATATGCAACGGTGCGAAGCAATGCAGGCATGTAGTAAGAGCCTGCAGCAGGTCTGAGGGGGGTACAAAAGGGCTATGTGGAGCGGCCGACCGGGTATCTGCAAGGGTTGAGGGAACGACTTGAAAGTTAACCAGAACCGCAAATTTTATCTTCCTCTGACCCTCCCCCCCTCCCTCCAAAAGGCGCCACTGACATTCTCTTTCTGATCCTTTCCTCTCCTCCCGTCGATCTGTATTTGCGGCAGCAGCGTCGTGCTCCGCTTTCAGTCACGTCGGCTAAAAGCTTGTCGGATTAATTAATGATAATTATTCGCCGGGTCCGAGCGGGGGCCCCGAGCGGCACTTCTAGTGTTACTGTCCGGCCACTTTGTTGCGTTCCGCCAGCGAAATTTATAATTCTAGGGCCACGAGCGGCCAGCAAGCGAGCCCATTTGCATCGAGCGGAGACTCGGCGGAAAAATCCGCAGAGACATGATCCTTTTTTTTATATCTTTGCTCCAAAATTTATTGTGGCTCTGCCTGCTCGCCCTCCCACACAAAGACTGTTTTCGAGAGGTCATTGGACTAATGAAACCGCGACGCCTCAAAACGGCTCTGCCTTTGCAAATGAAAAGATTACATTAAAATTCGGCGAATATGCGTTGCCGGGCTACAGGCCTCCTTTCACTTTGCCCTGCACAACAATAATGCTTCAAATGGGTTCAAAAGAGGAACGAAATAGTTAAGTTATTTTATAGGAATTGTAAATTGTAATTGTTGTACAATGTCAAATGATATACATATATATATTAATTTTATTTTTATCACGTTATGTTCCTTGAAGTTGTTTTTTTTTCGGTACTTATTATTGGCAGTTGTGATGTATTACAAAACATTTTTTTGTAATTGTATATTGTCTGTCAAAAAAAAAACCAATCACATGAATTGGATTGCAATTTTTTTCATTATTTTTTTTTGTTGCAAAACTGCAGTTTTGTCCGCATGGGCAAAAAATTAAAAGAAAAAAAAAATTGGCACAATATTTACATCTTGGTGTTTTCTCTTGCAACTTCCCTTTCCCTGCCTCACCTTAAACACAGCAGGCGGGACACAACGCGGCCCCACCACTTACGTGGACCGCTCGCGCGACAATCTCACCTCATTTTTCGTCCGCCCTGCCGCGACTCATATCCTCTCCGCCACGCCTCGGCTGCTCGGCCACGTCAGCCCCCTGCTGCTCCTTGCCCCCTAACCTCCGCGGCCTCGCCACACCGCCCCAATCGCACGGCTCTAGGGGAAGCGCCGATTAGTTTCCCGCCATTTCACTCCACGCTCACTCCGCGGCCCATCCGTCACCTTCGCCCCGCCGGTGCCATACGTCTGACCCCCTGCTCCCCTTCACCCCCCCTCTCTCTCTCTCTCTCTCTCTCTCGCGTTCTGCTACGCGGAGAGAGAATGAGAGGGAGGGAGGGGAGGGGAGCAAACTCAACCACCATAGTAATGGCAGGCTGCCAAAGCCTAGTCTTCGAAAGCACACACAACTCGTAGTCGTATGACACACACACACACACACACACACACACACAAACACACACACATCGTGGGCGCGCGTGTCGGGGGCGACGTGTTTGCACTAGAGGCAGACAGCACGACGTCCAAGCTCACTTTGTCTCGCGGACGCCGCGGCGGCGTTTCAAGTTTGCGACCGCTAAACAGTGATATACCTTTTCCATTTGCACTGATCAATCGCTCATCAACGCGTATATGTTCAACTGCGAGTTATACACAACTCGGTTTTTACACACATTTCTGCATTCATGTGTTCAACTCCTCTGTTAAACACAAGATTCAATACGTTTAAAAAAATGATTAGACGAACTCCGCGTGGAAAGTGATCGAACGGGGAGTTGAACAGTAAAATGGGGGGGGGGGGGGCGTGAACATTTAATTTATCTGTGTGATCGAAGGTGTTTATACACTAGCAAAGTTCGGTATATTCGATAAGCGATAAGCACTAGCATTTAAGGGAGACCTCCTTGACTCGACTTGACTAAGCCAAGCGAGGCCAAGTGTAGTAACTCCGAGGTGTCCAGCAGGGATGTGCGACTTCGATCGCATTTTTGCAGGACGCCTTGAGTTTTGGCACCTTTCCCCTGCAGAGCGGCCTAGGAAAGGGGTGTTCAATAAGAGAGCCCCTTAACTTTGTTTTCACCCATGGCCCTCAAACGCTCTTACTTTTAAAATGTTGCAAGATGTGCAAAACGGACGTTAGAAAAGTGTATTCCAGCTGCACACTGGGTGCAGAGGGGCGGGCGCCGCTACCGTCGCCGTGGGACAAAGGGACATGGGCGCAGGGTCCCCGGCGGGGCGGGACAGGGCGGGGCGCTGGTGCAGGAGGAAGCTCTGGGACTGTCACTGTGAGGTCGGAAGCCAACTTGTCAATTAATGGACCGGCTTTGGGGTGCATCCGGTGACTAGCGCTGCTGCTGCCGCTGCTGCTGTTGGGCCCCTAGGCCGGCTGGGTCCCCGTGGCGGGGCGGG